ATCTGTCTCTTTTCACTTTCTTACTGGTGTATTCTGATACACAAAATTTTTCATGGGGCTGGGAAGGTGGCTCAGTGGTAGAGCACTTGCCTTGCATGCATGAGGACCTGGGTTTGATTCCTCAGCACCACATAAGAAAAAAGCCAGAAGTGGCACTGTGGCTCAAGTGGTAGAGTGCTAGCTTTGAGCTGAAGAGCTGAGTGACAGCGCCCAGGCCCAGAGTTCTGGCCCCACAACCGGACCCAAAAAAAAAAAATTTCATTTGAATCATATCCAGTTTGTCTATTTTTTTCCTACTTGCTATGCACTTTTTGTTTGTTACTTTTTTGGTACAGGTTCTGAGGCTTGAACTCAGGGCCTTAGCACTCTGAGTTTTGTGCTCAAGGCTAGCACTCTACCACCTGAGCCACAGCTCCAGTTCCAGCTTTTTTGTGTATGCTTAATTGAGGAGTCTCACAGACTTTTCTGATTGGTCTGGCTTTGAAAAGTGATCTTCGGAATTCAGCCTCCTGAGTAGCTAGGATTACAGGCGTGAGCCAGTTGCACCCAGCTCTTGGTTGTCTTACTTAAGAAACCATTTCCAAAGCCAAGATCATAAACGCCTTCCTGTAGGTCGTCTTCCAAGTTTCAATCTTGGATCCTTTTTATTTTATTTTATTTTTTATTTATGATGAGTTAGGAATTCAACTTCATTCTTTTACATGTGGATGTCCAGTTATTCCACAACCATTTACTGAAGAAGATGAGATATTCTTCCCCTCCTCCTCCTCCCTCTCCTCCCCCATGCCCTGTTCCCATTTACTATTACCTTCTGTCTCCAATTCCCATCACAGTCACCAACAGGCCAGCTGCATTGCAGCCACCCATGTTGTGAAACAAGTCTTTATTCTACCTTGTAACAAAGTAAGACACAATTCATAAGGACAATCAAGAGTGATTTTCCAATTGCTGGCATCAAGGATGACATTTTTGTCTACCCCGCCCCAACAACTATTTAATGTCAACTATGTCCAGATAAGATTCATCTTGTCCTTCTCAGTAGGTCTCATGCCCCTTACCACTGGTGGGTGTTTTTCCACATGCACCTAACCACAACCGAGCTTATCCAAACCACATATCTAGCCCTGCTTTGCCCATATAAAGCACATTGCTTCACGACCATGGATATTAATTCTCACATCACGTAGGACCCTTTGGTTCCCTGCGTTTTCCTCCTTCTTCCTTTTTCTTGCCCATGGACAATCTCTTCTTTACCTCCCCAAGGAAGCCTCCTCTGATTTCTTTTGCTCAATTTTTACTTTTCTATGAATATGTTGTTCGGATGGCAAATTATGACACTTCTTTAGGCACCATCTTTGAACCTGTTTGATGAGCTTCAAGTTGTGTCTTCTGCATCCACTTCATCTTGGGTGTTCCCAGTCAAATTCCCCAGGATGCAGAAAAAGAATAGAATGAGGAAAGGCAATCAATCACTCCCCTCAAGAGGGAAGCAAGCAGAGGGGAGGCCAGGGGAGCCCATGAGAAGCTAGGTGTCTTCTGAGAAATTCACCTCCTGACACCTGTGTTCTTTTTGCACTCACTCAGAGTTGTCGCATCAAGCCTTGGGCCACCACATTGCTGCTAGACAAGCATGTGGAGTAACTTGAAGGAAAAGTGGAAACCCTACAAAGAGAATCTGGAATGTCTTCTCTATCCCTTAGAGATCAAAAAAAAAATCATAATAGGAAACAACAGCATTCAAACAGTATTGTTCAGGGCAAAAGTTTGCCCAAAGGAAGAGTATCCAAAGACCAGGCTTTCTTTTTTTTCTTTCTTTCTTTTTTTTTTCTTTCCTTTTTTTTTTTTTTTTGACCAGCCCTGGGGCTTGAACTCAGGGCCTGGGCACTGCCTCTGAGCTGTTTTTGTGCAAGGCTAGCACTCTACCACTTAAGCCACAGCACCACTTCCTGATTTTTCTGTTTATGTTGTACTGAGGAATTGAATCCAGGGGTTCATGCATACTAGGCAAGCACTCTACCACTAAGCCACATTTCCAGAGAATTGGAGGAAGGAAGTGATAGAGGGTGAGACTGGGTAGAATCCATTGCATGTGTAAATGGAAATGGCTTGATAAAAATCTTCCTCTCTGTAGCTAAGAGGAAAAAATAAAAGGAAAAGACAAAGACAGCTGGTGGCTCATAACAATAATCCTAGCTACTCAGGATCTGAATACCCATCTGAGGATTGAGCTAGGTGTCTTCTGAGAAATTCACCTCCTGACACCTGTGTTCTTTTTGCACTCACTCAGAGTTGTCGCATCAAGCCTTGGGCCACCACATTGCTGCTAGACAAGCATGTGGAGTAACTTGAAGGAAAAGTGGAAACCCTACAAAGAGAATCTGGACTTTCTAAAAAAAAGCCAAGGCAAGAAAAACTCAGACTTGGGAAGATAAAAAGAATATGCCTGGTCAGGTGCTGGTGGTTCATGCCTATAATCCTAGCTACTCAGGAGGCTGAGATCTGAGGATTGTGGTTCAAAGCCAGCCCAGGCAGGAAAGTCCCTGAGACTCTTAACTCTAATAAACCACTAGAAAAATGGAAGTATTGCTGTGACTCAAATGGTAGAGTGCTAGCCTTGAGCTGAAGAGCTGAGGGACAGTGCCCAGGCCCAGAGTTCAAGCCCCATGACTGATTAAAAACAAAACAAAACAAAAAAGAATGTGCCTGGTATGTGTTGGAATTAGAAATTATGCACATCATAGCAACACAGGCAAAGGCACGGTAATGGTTCTCTCCTCTCACCCACAGGAGAGCAAATTCCAGAAAAGAGAAGGCTCAGAACAACTGAGCATAGATAGGGCCTAGCCAGCTGGGGTGATCTATGCGAGTTGAAAGTACTATTCCCTCCCTCCCACTTAGTGCCAATCAGCACACCAGACAGCTGGAACCTCGAAAGCCTTTCTCTGCAGCTCTAAAATCTGAATTCATTTGAGAAGCTTTGTGTGAAGGGATAAAAGTCTAAGACTTCTGGAAATCAGAGTATCTTCTGCCCCAGAGATCCTGGGACTTGCATTGAGGATTTCACCTTGAAGTCAGAAGCAAGATTAAACCAGTGAATCTCTCAATGTTGTAATGCTTTTCTTTAAAATTTTACAGCCACCAGCAAGTAACATAGCACATTGGAGAGTCCCTTCCTCCCTCCCTCCTTCCCTTCCTCCCTCCCTCCCTCCCTTCCTCCCTCCCTTCCTCCCTCCCTCCCTTTCTTTCTTCTTCTCCTTTTTGTTCTGGTCCTGGGGCTTGAACTCACGACCTGAACACTGTCCCTAAGCTTTTATGTTCAAGACTAGCATTCTACCACTTGAACCACATTTCTGCTTCTGGCTTTTTGCTGGTTAATTGAAGATGAGAGTCCCACAGATTTTCCTACCCCTAGGCTGGCTTTGAGCTGTGATCCTCAGATCTTAGCCTCCTGAGTAGCTAGGATTATAGGCATGAGCCACTGGTGCCCAGCATGCTTGCTTGCTTGTTTCCTTGCTTCCTTGTTCCTTCCTTCTTTCTTTTTCATTTCTTTTTGTTTTGTGTTGGTAAGGCCTTGTGCTTTTGCTTGACTTTATCACTCAAGGGTAATGCTCTACCACTTGAGTCACACTTTCACTCTTGGCTTTTTGTTATTTATATAGATGAGAGTCTCGGGCTGGTTCTGAAACTCAATCCTCAGATGGGTATTCAGATCCTGAGTAGCTAGGATTATTGTTATGAGCCACCAGCTGTCTTTGTCTTTTCCTTTTATTTTTTTCCTCTTAGCTACAGAGAGGAAGATTTTTATCAAGCCATTTCCATTTACACATGCAATGGATTCTACCCAGTCTCACCCTCTATCACTTCCTTCCTCCAATTCTCTTATACAATTTCAGCAGGATTCTTTGCTCCTTTTATTGTGTATATGCAGATCCTGGGGCTTGAATTTAGGGCTTGGGCACTTTAGCTTTTTTTTTTTTTTCCTCATAGCTATCACTCTATCACTACTTGATCCACAGCTCCACTTCTGGTTTTTTGGTGATTAGTTGGATATAAGATTTCAGGGCCTTTCTTGCCCAGGCTTTGAACCACAATTCTCAGATCTCAGCTTCCTGAGTAGCTAGGATTACAGGCATGAATCACCAGGGCCAGGCTTCTTGTTCCATTCTCATACATGCAAACTATGTGCCTACATGGACTATATTCATGTGCACTTACCTTGCAAGGATATTTCTTGATAGTTCTTTGTATATATTCTATAAATCTCTGAGTGTGGACCTGCACACAACTAGTATAGGGTTTGAACTCAGGGCCTGAGCACTATCATTTAGATTTTTTTGTTCAAGGCTAGCACACTACCACTTGAGCCACAGATCCACTTCTAGTTTTTAGTGGCTAACTGAAGATAAGATTTCCTCTCTGGACTGACTTGGAGCCTCAATCCTCACTTCTGAGTAGCTGTGATTACAGATGTGTGCCACTGGTGCCAAACCCATTCTATAAATCTGTACATGAAATTTATCAAGTATCATTTTTATCTTGCTCTGTTTTATTAATATACACTACCCTGAATGATACAGTTGTTAATGCATTTTGCCATTTCTAAATTATGTCTTGGAACTTCATGTTATTGTCATGTTGTTACTGTTATTTTCACTTTTACTTCTCAGGAGTTAAAAAAAATGCATCTATTGGTCTTTTGAGGGCTTGTGTTTGTCTTAGAAAACTTGGGACTACATTCCTGATCCTTTCTATCAGAGAAAGCCTTAAGCACCCCCGGACAATGTGTGAGATGTCTATTAGCCTGAGGGAATGTGGATAACTTTCAGACTTCCATCTCAGCCCTCCTTTGCAAAGTTGCCTTCTGTGAGCTACTTTTACAACGCAGAAAAGGCCATCTGAGACACACAACTGTTCTCTCCCTCTTTCTCCCTTAGTTATCCTGCTTCTGTCTCCCCTGCTGATGAGATACAGGACCAGTGGTACCAGAGAGAACAAGGACCATGGAACAGCACACTGCAGAGCCTCCAGCTGTCATGGAGATCTGTGAGTTATGTGGCCTGTTTGTCCAGGTCCTAGCAGCAAGTAGGTGGTCTTTATTATTGTTGATCCTGGAAATGTCCAGGTTTTGGCCAAGGGTCCTTCATTAGAGGTCTCCAAATGAAATAAAGGCCTATATTTACAAGCTGAGGTTAAAAGACAAACTACCTCAGGTCATGTTTAAGGAACCATTAGAGGAAGTGGAAAGGAAGAGGCTCATCTGCTAATTAAAACGCTGAGCTGTGGTGAGAGGAACAATTACTCTAAAGCACTGTCTCTCCTTGCATTCCTGCAAACAAATTAGCTTGTACACCCACACAGTAAGAAAGACCAACACCATTTATGCACAGATATTTCCTTGGACATATTTTTTCTTCCCATCTCCATCTGATCAGTTAGCATCACTTTGATAGCGGGTTGGAGGTTGGCCCGATGTTTAGTGGGAGAAATTATTTCCACCCACTTATATTCTGAAGCAAATCTATAGCACAGCAGTGAGGGAGCTGAGACCAATACCGAGTCAAGCCCAGAAGAGATTCCTCAGAGCCAAAACTTCTGGATGGTTGAATTCTAGTAATAGAGTTTATCACATAGGAGAGGAGGGTGCTTTTAAATTGCTAGATTTCAGTAGCCAATAGAATCAAAAATAGCTGCTGAAGGGCAGATGGTGCTATGGCATATGTTAATGTACAGAGGATTTTTAAAAATCCCAATTTATCTCCAGCTATAGATATAATGGGGTGCCTGGCTAAGACTACACCACAGTATTTTTTCTTTCTTGCTTCCAATTTTTTGTGCTTATGCAATCATGAGCAAAGCTGCTATAAACAGCCATGTGCAGGTTTTTGGGTGGATGTATATTCCTTTTCTTTTGTCTTCACAGATTTTGGAACCCTCAATAAAGACAAGCAGTGGGTGGTGAGGAGAGCTAGCTGTTCTAAAGTCACAGGCAGCTCTTTTGTTTCTCTGGAGGTGAAAGTCCAATTTATACTTTTCATGACATGTGGTTTCTTTGAGCCTTTTGGGTAGGCCAACATAAAGCATCAGTCCTTTCTGGAACACTAAGGAAAGAAACTTGTCTGCTTCACTCATAAGTAGCCAGGCACCTGTGGCTCAGGCTTGTAATCCTATCTAATCAGGAAGTGGAGATCTGAGGATCACGGTTCAAAGCCAACCCAGGCAGGAAAGGCTGTGAGACTCTTATCTTCAATAAACTACCAAAAAAAGCTGGAAGTGAAGCTCTGTGACAGAAAGCTAGTCTTGAACACAAAAGCTCAGGGAGAGTACCCAGGCCCTGTCAAGCTCTAAGACTGCCTGCCCCCTCCAAAAAAAAAAGCATCTCAATGTATGGTAGCATGCTGCTCTGTCGCTGCTGTTCTCCTTGGGGAAAATTCTAATAAACATGGACTATACTATACCTAAAACATTTTTTGTTTGTTTTCTTTTTTCTTTCTTTCTTTTCTTTTCCTTTTTTTTTTTTTTTGTTGATCATGGTTCTTGAACTCCGGGCCTGGGCGCTGTCCCTCAGCTCTTCAGCTCAAAGCAAGCGCTCTATCACTTGAGCCACAGCGCCACTTCCAGTTTTCTGGTGGTTAATTAGAGATAAGAGTCTCACAGACTTTCCTGCTGGGGCTGGCTTTGAACTGTGATCCTCAGATCTCAGCCTTCTGAGTAGCTAGGATTATAGGTGTGAACCAACAGCCCCTGGCTTCTTTCATTCTCCTTTCTTTCTCTCTCTCTCTCTCTCTTTCTTCCTATATTTTCCCATCCTGGGGCTTGAACTCAGGGCCTGGGCACTGTCCCTGAGCTTCTTTTGCTCAAGACTAGCACTCTACAACTTAAGCCACAGTGCCACTTCTGTTTTTTTCTGTTTATGTGGTACTGAGGAAACAAATTCAGGGCTTCATGCATGATAGGAAAGCACTCTACCACTGAGCCACATTCCCAGCCCCTTTTTGTTTGTGTTCAAGGTGTTTGTGTAGGTAAGTGTGAATGTGTGTAGGTGTGTGTGCACAAGAATTGTTATTCAAGAACTTTCCACCTGTGAGTGGGAGTGGAATGGAACAAGGAAGGGAGCAGGAAGGCTGTGCTGTCCCATCTTCATGTTCTTTTACTTAAAGGTTCAGACAATGTGTTGTGGCAGATTGAGTAACTGACCTCAGACAAAGTATCTCTTTGAGGGCTTGGATATGGTTATCTAGGTAAGGAGAAGGCTGAACAAAGGCAAGGACTCAGGCAGATTCTGCATCTCTAATAGGAGTGTACATTTCAATGTCATCCTCCCTAGAAATGGCTGCAGTGTGAGGAGTGAGGCATTGAAGCTTACACTCTGTGGTGGGGAGAAATCTTCTATGCTCCTTGTGTGCAGGGGCGTGGCTAAGATGTCAGTGTGTTAGAAACGTATGCCAACTCTCCAGGGTTAGAAATGAATAGACACATAGAAGATAATAGGAGATTTTGTCAAGAAAAAGTACTTTTGTGCAAAATGGTATAGTACTGATACTCTACTGAGAGCTAGGGCAGGCAAACTAGTAGGTTAGTTTGCTAGATTTAGATCCCAGTCCAAACTGTCCCTCTTCCTTGTTAGGCTCACATTCTAAATATAATTGGTTACCATAGTGAGAAAGAGGCTATTAATTTTTTTCAAAGGCTTGCAATTTTTTTCCCCATCACAGCTGTCTGGAAGCAAGGTTGGGAACAAGGTGGCTGGCAGACATCGTTGGAGGAGGTTGATGTGGTCAGTGGAAAGCTCCCACTCAGAAGAGGATCTTATTCCTTTTAACTCTATTGATAAAGATTTCTCTAACAAGCAGCACATTTGGTAGCTGCAGTTTTATTCTATTTTTATTTTATTTATTATTGGTAAAGATTTATCTCCCCAACATGGCTGGCTGGTCACAAGCAGCACATCCCGTAATTACAGTTTGTTCTTTTGCCTCCTTCAACAGAAGATTCATATACCTTACATGGACGCTGGTTACAAACAGTACAGATACGGCTAGGAATGTGGCTTAGTGGTAGAGTGCTCGCCTGGCATGCCTGAAGCCCTGGGTTCGATTCTTCAATGCCACATACACAGAAAAAGCCGGAAGTGGTGCTGTGGCTCAAGTGGTAGAGTGCTAGCCTTGAGCAAAAGAAACTCAGGGACAGTGCCCAGGCCCTGAGTTCGAGCCCCAGGACTGGCAAAAAAAAAAAAAAAAAAGGACAGATAATACTTACAATTGAAGTCAAAAAGCAAATGATCTCAGGAAGTATATGTTAGGAAAGATCAAGCAGAAGAAAGGAAAAAAGTAGATAGAGACCTCAACGGAGTAGATTAGGATATTATCATTACTGCGGGGGGGGGGGGGGGGGGGGGGGGGGAGGAGGGAGGGAGGCTCCACATGTAACAGCAGGGAGAGTCAGAAAAACAAGGAGCAGGGAACATGGGGTTTTAGGGTTTAAATATAATCGAGCATGAGCATTTGGGGGATGTCTTTGTGGCTGCAGTAGACTGCCCAGCAGTTTGGGGTTTATGGTAGCCTTCTGATGCCAACAGTCCGGCACCTTCAGATAAGGTCAGGGGTGAATTTTTGCTGACAATCAGGAAGGGTCCCCAGGGAAGGTAGTTGGTCAGTGGGCCACAGGAACAACATTGAGTTAAGAGAACAGAGCAGATTCCCATCAAGATCAAGATCAAAAATATCAACGTACCAGACAGAGGCACTTTAGTTTGACAGAAGAGATTGTTTTTCCTCACGAATATGGTGACAGGATAGCCAGCATCCAATATGATTCCTTGTAGAATAGATCAGTTCTTATGTGAAGAACTAGGGCAAAGAGCCATGTTGATGTAACAGGTCTTTCTCTGGGTGGTTGTAAGAAGGCAATGTGGTAAGAAAAAAATTTCCTGTGATCTAGTAGGACAATTAAGAGGGGGAAAATCATCTGGAAGCATCTGAATTACCTAAATGTGTGGGGCTCTGTGTGTGTGTGTGTGTGTGTGTGTGTGTGTGTGTGTGTGTACCAGTAATGGGGCTTGAACTCAAGGTTTGGGTGTTGCCCCTTTGCTATATTTCCTCAAGGCTGGTACTTAACCACTTGAGCTATACCTCTACTTCTGGCTTTTTGGTGGTTAATTGGAGATAAGAGTCACACAGAGATCAGAGTCTGTCCGGGCTGGCTTCAAACCATGATCCTCAGATCTCAGCCTACTGAATAGCTACCATGATCCTCAGATCTCAGCCTACTGAATAGCTAGGGTTATAGGTGTGAGCCACTAGTATCTTTCAGATTTATGGTTCTTCACAGGGATATTCTTGTCTTTTAGGTGGCATTTGGCGTATGTTATGATTTGAATATTAATGCCCTATGGGCTTATGCCTTTATTATACTTAGGTGTTTGGAGGGTGATGTTTTTATTAGTAGGGTCTTATAGCTTGATGGCTGTTTCTTTTATTTCCCAATCAAGACACTTCTGCAAATATCCCTCTTATCACCATCTTGGAAAGGCTATTAGAGCCTGAGGAACTAAAAGGGGATAGGGAGGGGTGGGAGGTAGGATGGTCCCTTTCCTGGTAGGACTTCTTTCACAACGCTGTCTCTTTTGTATGTGGTTTTCACTTGCCAGGCCAAGATATTGCCCATAGCCTTGCATCCTAATTAATCTAACCTTTCACCATGAGCCCAAATCTTTCCTAAATTCAGTTGTTCTCTCAAGTATTTTGTTACGGCAATGAGAAGAGGAACTAACACAGAAAATTAGTACTAGGAGTAAGGTAGTTGCTGACCAGGTGGTTGAGAAACCATTGGAACTAGATTGTGGGAGGAATTTGGAAGAGTCTTTAGATTACAGAAAGTCTAGGGTGCTGTAAGCAGAGTGTTTTCTAGAGCAAGCTCAGGAGTACACAATGCTGAGAGACATATGTGAGTAAAGGTGAACGGTGCTCATAAGGTGAAAGTGAGAACTCTTGGGACTTGAACTGGAGGTCATTCATGTTACATTCTGTCACATAATTTGTCTTCATTTTGTTCATGTCCTATGATTTGCAGTGAAGCTGAACTGAACATTATTCTATTAGCCAGACCTACTGGTGTACACTTACAAACCCAGTAATTCCAGCAGTTACCATCTTACCCCCGCTTTCTAGGGTAAACTACGACATCCCCCTGTTGTATTCTTTTGCCAGGTAAGTCTACTCCTTTCTTTTTCTTTTATTGTGCCAGTCCTGGGACTTGAAATCAGGGACTGAGCACTGTCCCTGAGCTTTTTTTTATTTTTTTTTATTTTTTGGGGGTCCGGTCATGGGTCCTGAACTCTTAGGCCTGGGCTCTGTCCCTCAGCTCTTCAGCTCAAGGCCAGTGCTCTAGCACTTGAGCCACAGAGCCACTTTTCAGCGTTTTTCTTTTTGCTTATGTGGTGCTGAGGAATCGAACCCAGGGCCTCATGCATGCAAAGCAAGCGCTCTACCAATGAGCCACCTTCCCAGCCCCAATGTCCCTGAGCTTTTTTGCTCAAAGCTAAGGCTCTGCCTCTAGAGCCACAGCTCCAACTTCTGGCTTTTGGGTAGATAATTTGAAATAGAAGTCTCATGGACTTTTCTTCCTGGGGTGTCTTCTAACCACTATGCTCAGATCTGATCCTCCCGGGTAGCTAAGATTACAAGTATGAGCTTCTGGCAATTCAACTTTCTTTAGATCAGCATTGATAACACTTTGTGATCCTTCTTTATTGCGCTATCACATGAGCATCTAAATTCATTAACAACTTCTACCTTGGTAAGGATTTCCCTACCTTGGTACTGTGGACATTTTAGATTGAAAGACCTTTGTCCTGAGACTTTCCTGTGCATTGTAGGTTTGGTGACACCATTGTCCTCTACCCAGTAGATGCTGACAGCAATCCCCAAAATGTGACAACAAAAATATCTCTAAGTCTGGATATGAGTGGCTCACGCCTGTAATCCTAGCTACTCAGGAGGCTGAGATCTGAGGATCATGGTTTGAAGCCAGCCTAGACAGGAAAGCCCATGAGACTCTTATCTCCAATTAAATACTAAAAAAGCTGGAAGTGGGGCTGTGGCTCAAGTGGTAGAGGGCTAGCCTTGAGCAAAACAAGCTTATGGATAATATCAGGTCCTAAGTTGAAGCCACTACACATACATATACACACAAACACACACATTCACACACACACACACACACACACACAAATCTCTAGACATGCTGTATCAATTTCTTTTCTCATTACTGTGACAGAATACTGAGGAGGAAGAGGAATTATTTAATTTTACTCACAGTTTCAGAGATTTTAGTATGTTGTACGTGGTTCCCTTACCTCCAATCCAGGGTACAACAAAACTTCGAGGCATGTGGAGGAGGAAGCTTCTTGCTACAAAGCAGTAAGGATGCCTAGAAGGACTGGGGTCAAACTTAACCTTCAAAGACACCCCCAGTGACTTATTTCCTCCAGTCAGGCCTCACCTCTTTGGTTTCCAAGAGTGAATCCAGCCTCAGACCAAGTGTTCAATAGATGCAGTTGTTGGGGATTTTTTGGTTCGTGTTTAAACCATAGCCTTCCCCACTCACAGTCTCCAAAGGCTCTAGCCATCTTATAATGAAAAATGCATTTAGTCTATTTCCAAGAATCCTTTTAGTCTGAACTGAAATTCCGGCACTGTTCAAAACTCTTCACACTCTACTGTGACTGAATGCAAACTCATAGCTACAAAGGCTAAGAGAAGAAGTAAAATGAAAGTTGCTTACTTTTAAAAGACAAGGACCCCCCCCCCACCTCTGCACAGTATCTTTACAATAAAAAAATATATATTAAAAAAAAAGACAAGGACACAAGGAAACCTTGCCATTCTAAAGAGAAGGGATAGGAAAATAGCAAGAAAGGATGAGACCAAAGCAAGACCCAAACCTAGCTAGGCAAACATTAAGTACTATAGCTCTATATCTGGCCCCTAAGACACTAGGTGATATGATAAGGGCTCCAGTGGGTTTGAGTAGCCTCACCCCTATAGACTTGCCATTTGCTTCTCTCTTAGGCTGTCTCTAGTCGTTACTATAGATTTCTTTGGCAGATGGTCCACATTTCTGACACCTCTAACATACACCAGTCTCCAGTGAAGCCCAGGCTACACCGTTACAACTTCATGCATAACCCTGTCTTACATTTGAAATCTCTATGGAAGCAAGCCTCTATCAGCACGTTTTACATTCTGCATTCCTGTAAAAACGGCAATCATATGTATGCCAACCCAGTCTTCCACTACTCCAGCTAGCCAGAACTCCTTGAATTACGCTGCAGTAGCCCCTGAGTGACTGTGTTTAAACTTAAGCAGAACCTTCTATAGGCATTCGGAGCTCCCAGGAGCTTTCATCTCAAAGCAAAGTCTCAAACTAGTTAAATATGATCCATGGGGAGGGTCCCACCAGTTCCTGAGAAACCCTCAACTGGTAGGAGGGGAGTTAACTCAAGAGGATTGTAATTCGAAGCCAATAAGAATAAAGATTTGCATGACCCTTTTTTGCCCATAGCTGAGTGCAGTCTTGTATGTCTGTCATCTCGAAGAGAAATAAATGCATGAATATCATTGTCCAGAGTACCCTAAGCATAAACACAAGACTATTTGAAAAATAACTAAGGCACAAAAAGGTAGTGGTAGAGTACCTTCCTAAAAAGTGAGCAGACTGGAGTTCAAACTTAATACTACAAGAAAGAAAGAAAGAAAGAGCGAGAGAGGGGGGGAGGGAGGGAGGGAGGGAGGGAGGGAGGGAGGGAGGGAGAGAAAGAAAAAGAAAAGGAAGGAAGAGAGAGAGAGAAAGAAAGAAAGAAAGAAAGGAAGGAAGAAAGGAAAGAGAGAGAGAGGATAGGGAGGGAAGGAGGGAAGGAAGGGAAAGAGATGAGAGAGAGAAAGAGAGAACACAACAAAGTATATTCATTGGTCCTCATGTGCTAAATTTTAGTTGTTTCTGTAATCCCAGCAACTACCAGGACAAATTTCTTGTTTTTCTGGAATAAATGTGTAAGTTGAGGGTCAGGAGCTGGTGGCTCATGCCTGTAATTCTAGCTACTCAGGAGGCTGAAATCTGAGGATCGCAGTTCAAAGCCAGCCCAGGCAGGAAAGTCCGTTTGACTCTTATCTTCAATAAACCACCAGAAAACCAGAATGGACCTGTGGCTTAAATGATATAGTGCTCTCACCTTGAGCTGAAGAGCTCAGGGACAATACCCAGGCCAAGAGTTCAAGTCCCATGACTGACCAAAAAAATAAAGTTTAAGTTGAGAAAGTAGGAATCATGTAAATCATAATTATAGTGGTCCTGGTAAATTACTTCATTAAACCCATCAAATCTGTGAGATGTGCTTTTGTAATTTCCATTTATAATACATAGAATCAGATATGAGTATACAGATTCCCACAGGATCCCACAGACCCCATCTAGATTTTTAAAAATATTATTTTATTTTCTTCTTGTAGTTAAACAATCTTTAGAACTGCTACCTGTTTTGACAGCATAAATTTAATAGCTCTTGCTTCTTCATGTGTCCAATGGAGTCAATAGGCTGTCATAAGATCTATCTATTTCATGAGGTTACTGTGAAAAGTAAATGTATTAACTGCTTAGGACATTGTTTGGCATACAGTGAAGGTTAGTAACTTATATGAGGTAAACAGAAAATGAATAGAGAATCCCTCATTAGACCAGTGATTCTCTTAAGTGTGGTCCTCAAACTAGAGGCTAAGTATCCTCTGGGTACTTGTTAGAAATGCAAACTTTGCTTTCCACCTCCAGCCCTAAATTTTGGAGTGGGCTCAGCCACCTGCATTTAGCCAGCTCTCCAGATGACTCTGATGTATGATTAAGTTTGAGAACTGATGAATGTCCATTCTGAGGAGGTGATGCTCTAACTGCATGGGATTGATTCCCACTAGGATGACTTTTCTGGCTATAAACGTTCAAAAAGCAAAAACCAAAACAAAATCAACTCTTTATGTCTTCCCTTCTCTGTTCCTCTGCTTGTTTTGGTGCTGGTCCTGGGGCTTGAACACAGAACCTGGGTACTGTCTCTAAGCTTTATTTGCTCAAAGCTAGCACTCTACTTTTTGAGCCACAGCTCCTTTTCTGGCTTTATTTGGCAGTTAATTGGAGGTGAGTCTTACAGACTTAACTTCCCAGGCTAGTTTTGAACCATGATCCTCAGATCTCAGCCTCCTAAGTGGCTACATTACAGTGTGAGTCACTAGTGCCAGGCTGTTCCTTTACATTGCTATGTTCAGCAAACATCTACTCATCCTTAGGACCAGATGTCTTCCCTGGTACCTTGACACACCCTAACTGCCCTCCACCCTCAGTGAGATCTCTCCTTACTCCCACTCTCCCTCTTTCTTATCTTCTTCCCCTCCTTCATTTATTGAGACCCCTGGGACTTGGGAGGATCGAGTCTCAGGAAAGCCAAGGCTTTATCCTCTGGGAACCTGTCATCTAGAGGAGAGACAGACACATGTTTCTGTCTACCACTGGCTTCAGGGTGTGGGGGAGCAGGTGCACCAATGAGGGTCAGGGTTGGGGCAGATTCAGGGATGAGGACAAGCTTCTCAAAGGACTTGATAAAATATTATTAAAAATCATCTGGAAGAAAAACACAAGAACTACAATATCAAACAATGAGTTTTTAATAACAGCACAAAAGATAATCATGGGAGATACATGGAAATAGTAAAGAGAACCTAAAGGTGCTGCTGAATAAAGATGATAAAAATGTTCTACTTAAATTTTCCTTCAAATAGAAACATCTAGAAGTGGATGAATGACCATTGGCCAGGAAGGAAAGAGCTGCCATTTAGTTACTGTTGAATGCTTCCTAATCATTCTCTGCTAATGGTTTGGTTTTGCTAGTCTTCATTACTTCAAGTCTTTGTTTACCCCTCATCTTGCCATCATGCATGCCTCCTTCTTCCCTGTGTTAGTGGGAAAAAAATCCTCATATTAATTACCCAGGTCATAAGCTGCCTTCCCCAGGAGGGCTGCTCTGCTTCTCCTCATTGGAGGTAATTACTCTTTGCTGGCAAGGTCATCATCCCTTGTTGAGTCTAACTTGCTTTAGCACATTTTGCTGCATTTCAGTTATGGCAGAAATTTATTTGGTCTTATAAATTTGGTCTTGATTCCCCAGGAT